CGGTCCAGGGGCCAGGACAGGGCCCTGCAGGGCCAGGAGGGAGGGCTCCTTGGACACACCTGGGGACAGGCGGGCGTGAAGTGCAGGGGCCGCTTCCTCCAATCAGCACCCCCCCACTGGGCCCTGCAGGGCTCACTGTCTCCCACACTCTGCGTCTCTGGCCCAGTGTCGGGCTCCGTGATCAGCACAGCAGGGTCTCGTTCTCTCCTGAGGCCACCCTGGGCCTGTCTGCTCCCCACATTGTCTGAGACGAGGACAGGACCCCCTCACCTGGGACCAGGAGCTCCAGGGGCTCGCTGGGCTCTGACCACACCTGGGGGCTGTTCCTGAAGGAGCCGTAGCACCTGAACGTCCACCTGCGGCCTGGGGTCACGGGGCCCACGGGGAACAGGGCCTGGAACAGCCCGGAGGCGGGTCCATGTGAGTGCAGGGTCCAGGAGAGCCTGCGTTCTCCTTCCTGAATCAGAGTGAAGGTGCCGAACCCCAGCCCTGAGCCACACCGGAGGGTCACGTTCCCTCCTGAGGTCACCACAGGGCTGGGCAGGGCTGAGAGGTCTGGTTGGCTGTAGACTCCTGGAGAGAAGAGAGCAGCGTGTTAATGGCTCCCACCTCCTACGTCACCCAGGGCTGGGCTGTGCGAGGGGGGACCCTGAGAGCAGACCCTCTCCCTGAGGGCAGAGCCTGGGGCTGGGGCCCGGGTGTCCTCTCACCTGTCACCACCAGCTCCAGGGGGTCACTGTGCTCTGACCAGCCAGAACCGGCATAATAGTAACACTCATATCGCCCTGCGTAGTCCAGTGTCATCGATGGGATGTGGAACTTGTCCTTGTCCCTGGGCTCCAGAGTTCTCTGTCCCCTGGGCTCCAGAGGTTTCTGTGTGTCCCAGGGCTCTGAGATTCCCTCTTTATCCAAACGGTACTCCTGGGCCTCCAGGCTCCCCTGACACCAGATGGTCACGGGTCTCCCCAGGGTGACCACAGAGCCTGGCTCAGCCCAGATGGTGGCTTTGGGGAGGGTCCCTGGAGGGAAATGAGAGGCTGGTCCCAGGACACCCCCCTCAGATCCCAGCTCCCAGTCCAGGGCCCTCCAGATGTGCCCCCTCTCAGCCCAGAACTGCTGTGTCCATCCCCAGCTGCCCAGGGGTGGCCCCTTGTCCCCAAGAGGAGGGACCTGGGACCCCGGCACAGACTCACCTGCCTGCCCTCGGGTGAGGCCCAGACCCAGCCCTGGAAGAGAGACCCTGTGAGAGGTTTGCCCTGGAGCTGAGCAGGTCCTGCCTCCCCTGAGCCTGGGGCTCCTGGTGGAGCAGGGCCCGGTGGGGTGGGGGCCCTCCCAGAACAGGATCTCCCCCGCCCCTCCTCCATCTCACCAAGGCAGAGTAGGGCCATGAGGGTGGGGGTCATGGCGTCTCCCCCACTGGTCCCGGCTGTGCAGATGGAGGAGACCTGGGTGCAGGCAGGACAGACAGACGCGCAGGGTGTGGGCACTCGGAGGCTGGGCCCTCCACGTCATGGGGCTGTCACATCATGAGCCCCAGGAAGGGGAACTGGCCCTCCCAGGGGCCTGGCTCTGGTTTCCTCAGGGCTGGGACCCCCTCGGACCCCAGGCTCTCTGCAGACGTTCCACACTGAGGTTGAGGTCACCTGACTCCCAGTCACTGCCTGCCGGATCCGTCCTCATCTCGCTGAGGGCCAGGACGTGGCTGAAATACACCTGGGGCCTCCTGAACCAGGCTCTCCAGGTGAGGGTGACCGAGGGCTGCTCTTCCCTCATACCTCCAGGGTCCCCTCACCCCTTCCTCCGCCCATCAGCCCAGCCTGCGGTCCTCAGCACGACCAGCTTCAGCCAGTCTGGGGAGCTCAGGGTGCAGGTCACACTGCTCGGACGGCTGAGGGCCCAGGGCGCGAGTGACATCTGCCTGCAGGCTGAGCTGCCCTGGGGCCCAGAGCGTGGAGAGGGCACAGGGACGGACGGGCAGGGCGTGACTTCTGGCCTGCATCGTGGGCTTCATTTCTACCGAACTTTTCTCTAGGAACTTCCTTTTCCCTCAGCACCCGCGCCCTCCTCTCTGGGCCCTGCCCCGAGTCGTTCTGTCTTCCCAGTTCTGCTTGTCCTTCCCTGCACGGCCTTGGTTCCCGCGTCGCTCCTCTGAGCTCACACACGCCCAGGCAGACGCGAGCACTCCGGGTGTGACGACGTGTCTTTAGACCCCGTCCATTTCAAAGGTAGAGGGATGGTGACTCCTTGTCTATAAACTCACACACTCACCAGCAGGGCTCAGCATGGCACTGAGAGTCCTGGCGGGAGCAACCGGGCCAACAGAACGACACAAAAAACGGAAACGAGCAGCACCCGTATCAGAAAAGTAGAAGTTGATTGGTTGCTTTTGGACCAATCATGAGGTGCCAGATATGCAAATTTGAGGGATTCTAGTGGCCAATCAGAGCAAGGTTTCGAAGGTCAGGTTTTTGGAAGGGAACCAATCATGGTAATTGTTTGCTCTCTGAGAAACCTCGGCAGACTCGCTGGTTCGCAGCTTCCCACAGGAGTGGTTGAGGGAGAGGGAGGGAGAGAGGGAGAGAGAGGGAGAGAGGTGGAAAACTGCTCGCAGGGGCATGGCCACGCTACACAATCTCTTCTCCTCCACCCTCCAGACTTTGGGCATGTATGCACAGGGGCCCAGGTGACTCTCATGTCCCTGATGTTGGCCATGGGGACTCAGCCTCCTTACCTTCCGCATTACCTGCTGGCCCTCAAACAGTAGCATGTCCATACACAAACAAGAAATTACTCACCGAGAAATCGAGACAACAGCTTACCTTACAGTAGTTATAAACAAATAACCGTCGAAGTCCCAGTATTGCACTTAACCAAGGCGATGGAAGATGTCTACAGTAAAGCAACAAAACGCTGAGGAAAGGTTTTCGAAAGCCACACGACGAGCGGAGAGCTGTCCCACGCCGTGTGTTAGACGTACTCACGGTGCCGACCTTCCCCGTGCCTGGATGAAGGAGGAACGTCTGTAGTCGGAGCCGGGGTCTGGGGCAGGGGCAGGGGCGGAGGCGGAGGCGGAGATGGAGGTGTTTTGAAAGGACTGAAAAGAAATCATGGCCAAGCAGTGATGAAGGTGAGGAGGAGGAGGAGGAGGAGGAGGAGGAGGAGGGAGCCGCCTGTGAAGATGAAGAGGACGGTGGAGAGTAAAGATCCTTGAAGGGAACGGCTGAGCACGCCAGAGCTGAAGGGTGCAGCAGAGTTCTCTTTCTTTACTGGCCTCCACGCTCACGCTGAGAGAGTCGCGAAGGCTCTACTTATTCCTTTGTTTGTTTTTTGGAGAGGATTTTGCTAAAGGGCATGTGCACTCGCCAGAAAGACAGAGAGAGACAGAGACAGAGAGCGAGAAATCACCGCCCCCCCCACCCCCGGGGGGATGGCCACACCGCAATCCCTTCTCCTCCATTCCTGAAGGCTCTTCTGATCAGCATGCAATGAATCTTTTCTGGGAACGTGGCATGGTGACCCCAGACACGTTGGCCTCTCTTCGTTATTTGGATAACCGTTTGCCCCACCTCGTCTGAAGAGTTCAGCTTCTAGAAGTCCTTGGAAAGGGCGGTATAAGCTGAGGGGCCAGCAGGTGGTGACGGTTAAGACGCTGGCTTCTCCATGAGTGACTGCATCTAAGTCCCAGACCCGCCCTGGAAAATCACACCCGAGCAGGGACAAAGCCATTCAAGTGTGCCTGTCCATTGAAGAGCCCTGAACTCTCCCTGCCAGGCCGCGGGCTGCGTCACTACTGTAGCTTCCCCGTGTATTTCCCAGGAAGGCTGGGTAACACCAGGCCTATGGGAACAGGTGATGGCGTGTCATGTGATACACACGCATCTACCACCGCAGAACTTGTGCTGAGTGCCCCAGAGTTGATCATAAATTGAAACATTTCCAGTTCAGACGGTATCCGGGATGTGGCTTCATTGCAAGGACAGGAGGAGTTGAGAATGTGCAGGGTAGAGAAATAGACAAGAGTTTTCAGTAGAAAGAAATGAGTGGATTGAGGGGAAGCATGGAGACTTGAAGAGTATCTCGATTTTGCTGATTGAGATGAGGAGTTTGACTGGAACACATTTCCTTCAGGGACGACTATGAATTCCTGTAAGTGTGAAGTTCACAAGACTTGTTTCTCTGTATCATGTGACATATTTATATACTTTGTGTGTATTTTTATGGCAAAACATCTTGTTT